CCCGGATGAGCGTATCCAGAAAATCATCCGGGATGTTGTCGACATGGACAAATTCCACAGCCACTGCAGACCTTGCCCATTGGGGGCCGACCATCGTGTTCGATTCGATTGTGGTGAAGACCCCGCCCAGCCTAATGCCCTCGCCCACGCTTATGAGGATGTGAGTAACTCTCTCTCTGACGCACATGAAAGGTCTGAGAGGTGGCTAACGTCCACTTGTAGTGCGTGCGTAAGGACGGCGATCCGTGCTGGGTCCATGGCAAGTCCTTTCGGAGGCAGCTTACCGGGCTGGAACGCGTTACCGTCGTGTTGCAGGTCGTCACCCTCGAGCCAGCGCCCTACGAGTCCTCTGAACTGACGAATTGGTGCATGGAGTACCTTGGATCTCGTCAGGCTCTGGTCAACAACGTGTTGGCAACCGTGTCTACGGAGGCCACAACAGACAAGGGGGAGGGATCCCCGGAGCTCGACCGCACGCAGTCGTTGCTAGCGAGTGACGTTCCGAACCCGTTTGTGCGCCGACGCTCCACCAAGTCGAGGTCGTCGTACTGGCTCGCTACCAAGAACGCCGCTGGTGAGTGGGTGTTTGCGGACAGTCCCCGCCAAGCCCGGTATACCCAGTGGGTGAACAAGCTCATCCCGCTACGGGGCGAGGGAGGCAGCCAGTCCACCTCCCGGGCGGGAGGGGAGTCCCACCCAGCAAGCGCGTCGAAGGGTCCCTCCACTGCGAGGTCGGAGAGCCGTAGCCAGTCCCAGACGAAGGTTGGGAACGTCTTCATTTACACCGTTGTGAGTCGCACATCTTGCACTAAGCATGAGCGAGGAGTAACATGCCATGGCTAGTCTGGACAACCTCCTGTACAAGTTGAGTTGGACGCCCAACCAGAGGGCCACATGCTCACTGTCAAGATGCGGCAGGAAGCGCTCGTGCAAGCCCTTGGCTTGAATGTGCGAACACGCAACCTGGATCGCAAGATCGAGGTGTACGATCCGATTGCGTCGAAATGGTTCCATCCCTCGCACGACAAGCTCTGGTTCCGCTTGAACGTCAAGGAAGGGCTCGTCCTTCGGGCAAGTGGCGTGCGTTTCATGCCTGGACTGGAGGATTGTGTCCTTAAGACGTTGGCGAAAGCTCTTCGGCCAGGCACTGAGGAGTTGCCCCCTTTCCTTGCCTATGCTGCAGCGCGCTCCTACCCGACCTTTGGGGACCAACCCCCACTCACAGTGATGTCTGCGTCGGTGTCACATCCCACCAACCTTCCCCTTACTCGTGGCTCTTTGGCTGGTCACAGTGCCCTCAAGACCGACACCTCCCGTGTCCGCGGTGGGCGTGTCCCCACCGCTAACGCAATGAAGCCAGGCACTGGCACCGCCTCTCGGGTCAGCCAGGATCCCATCGAGATCTCTGACGACGACAACAACGACAACAACGTCATCGTGGGTCGGCAGACTAGGAAGGACGCTTCTCCTGGGAAGATCGCCAATTCGGCGTCGCGGCAGGGCGCTAGCATCTCCACCGAGGACAAGCCTGCAACTAAGGCGATGAAGCGACGTCGCGCTCACCCTCGCAAGTGGGTGACGGGTGACGTGATCGACATCTCCTCTGACGACGATACCACCCTCCCCGAGCGCAAGCGTGCTCGTGCTCACGCGAGTACGTTCGCGTCGGGCGAAGTGATCAACATCTCTTCCGACGAGGACGGGTCTCCCACGGACGATAAGCGCTCTGGAGCACGCGCGAGTACCTCGACCACGCGCGAGGTCGTCAAGCTACCTACAGACAAGGACACCACTACCATGGGCGACAAGCGCGCTGGCGTGCAGGCGACTAAGTCTCAATCAGGCGACATCATCGAGATCTCTTCAGACGAGGACATCACTCCCACCACCAAGACGCGCGGGCCCAAGCGCGTCTTGCGGCAGGTCAAAGATCTGCAGCGGGTGACGATCCCCCCCCCCGTGAGGTTCCACGGGTCTCGCCAGCGTCCGAGTAGCATGCTTGAGGTCGGGACACATTCCCAAGACAACGCCGCGGCCGCGGTGTCCCTACAGACCGCTGTGACTAGTGCGGTCACCTTGCCTGCGCAAGTTGCCTCAACGTCCTTGGCGGGCGTCCCTCTGGTGACGTCGGCGTCCACAGGTTGCACTGGGGCTGTCCAGAGGGAGAGCTCTCCCTCTCCCTGCGCACCGTCTATGGTAGTGCACCCCAGGGCTTCGCCCAGCGATCGGAAGGGGAAAGGCAGAGCGGAGGATGAGCGTGATGACGAGTCTGACACTACGCTGGTGTGATGCGTACTTCGTCTGCGTACATCGTCCTCCCCTTGTTAGCATCATTCCCCCAGACTTGGGGGATCTGGATCGTTGACACCTTCATATGCTCATCCCAGCGCGTGCGTTTGCTACATACATCCATGTAATTGTTATAGTCTGTACATATACGTTACATATATTGATATTGCCCTCATCACGTCCACTCCTTTCGTATCTCCTGATCGC